CTTGTTTTCTATTATCTGTCACTGAGTTTTTTTACTTTGAACATGACTTCCTGCTTTATACAACAAGCCTGCTTTCTGTAGGGATGGGCTGGATGGTGTGATGTTCTCCAAGAGTCCCCTCATGTCCCATATATACTCCCTGTATAATTTCTCCCAGTAAGGGTGATGAAATTTGTGGAAATGATGAGATAGAACTCTATAATTGGTTACTAATCCAAGAATCATTTATTAATCACAAGAAAGCTGAATCTAGTGAACCTAACCCAGTCAGAAGTGTCCTGAAAGAAAACCATGAGGGCACACAGAAACCACGTGTGGGAAATGAAGGCAACCCTTAAAAGGACAGGGCAGCCCTTGTCCAGCAGTCAACAACTGAACAGGGGAGGGGTCTCAACCCTGCAGCACACTATGAAGTTCATATCAAGTGTCTGAACTTAAGAGTCCCACACTCCAGAAGGAAGGTGGTCCAAACATCACTGATCTCAGCCTACTGAGGCTGAGCAGAGCCCTGGCTGTCCAATCACAGGACTATGAGCTTGTGAATGACTTCAGCTGTGATTATGAGAATGCTACTAAGTATCAGAAAACAATTACACTCATGATTGAAAATATTACAAGTGTGCTTAAGAGGTACAGTTAATGCTGAGAGTTTTAGCCAAGTGCTCATGAGGAAAGCAAACACACTACAACTAGAATGACAGAGGATTAGCAGGCCCCTGTGCAAGAGTGAGATCTTCAGTTAGAAGCTCTGCAGAAGCAAACACCAGAGGCAGCTAGTGGAAGAGCAGCAAGTCTACTCATGTTCACGTCCTCTGAAGCTGTGCCAATTCAACAAGGAATGATACTTAATAATTCCTGTTACACCAGTCACATCAAACAATTTGTTAGACAACTAGCCCAAATCCCAGTCGAGATTTAAGACCCCTCTACTATCGAAAGGTCTACTGTTAAAGCCATTGGCATTCCCAGTACCCCACTTCAAACCCAAACAACTTGGTGGAAATTCTGTTCACTCTCTCTGTGTTTATACCAAGAATGGGAAAAAAAAAAAAAAAAAAAAAAAAAAAAAAAAAAACAAACCTCGTTTCCCAGGTAATTATCTTCCTCAAGGTCACAATGATCCACAAAGCAACCTCATCTCTTTCTTTGATTTTTATGTTTTGTTTTTTAAAATTCTTCAAAAAAAGTTGATTGCAAATTTCAAGAAACCACAGCATATGAATACAACCTTGAACTCTGTTCTCTTTTCAAAAGAGATTATTTTAAAGCTCAAGAATGGTTTCCCAATTATAAACCTAGCTAGACTCATACATTTAGGAACATTTCCATATCAATCTTTTACAGACTTAGATGGAAACAAATACAAACAGAAAACTATTTTAAATTGGATGATTCCAAACTGCCATCTGCTGGTTTCATCTAGAAATGATACTCCAGGAAAACTGACTTAGATTCAAATAGAAACAGTGAAGTACACATACACACTGCCATGTTTTTAAAAGCAATGCAGTAGACTGAGGCATCATTATCATCAATACAAAATGATGGTACCAAATTTCAAAAGTTCCAGAAAGTAACCTCATTATGATCTTACTATTCAGTTTGTTACTTCTCTGACATAATAGTTTGCTTATACATCAGGGTGTTGTCAATCCAAACCAGGTTTTCCTTTTACAGTTCTTGCTAAACACCTGCTTTGTGGCCCAGCCCTAGAAAGAATGAAAGATAAGCCGGGCATTGGTGGCACACGCCTTTAATCCCAGCACTCGGGAGGCAGAGGCAGGTGGATCTCTGTGAGTTCGAGACCAGCATGGTCTACAAGAGCTAGTTCGAGGACAGCCTCCAAAGCCACAGACAAACCCCGTCTTGAAAAAAAAAAAAGAAAGAAAGAAAAAGAAAAGAAAGCATGAAAAATATTTATAGAGGTAACTATGTTCTCTCTTATTCCTGACTCTGTTTACCTCTGTGCTCTGTCTTTCTCATTTGTTTCCCATCTTGCTCTACTGTATGAGTATGTGTGTATATGCGTGTGCATGTGTGGATCTATGTGTGCAGGTGTGTGGGGGATTGTGTATTTATGTGTGTGTGCAGGGATGGATGTGTGTCTCTGGAACAATTCAAATATTTACATGTAACAATAAAGCAGATATAAGTAAACCCCTACCTGAGCTTGAATGAAATAAATATAACTAAATTGAACTTTAAAATGCAACTGAGCCTTAAGGCAATGAGGATATCTATCACCTGCTCTAAAGAGGGGCCAGTTTGCAGACAAACCAATAAACAAGGAATCACAAAGGCATGGTGAAAAACTAAATGGTGTGGTTTGGGAACAGAACACCTGCCTTGAATGCTAGAGGCCTGGGTTTCAATTTCAAGCACCACAAGAGACAAATCAAAACTACAAAGACACTCCATAAAAGGCCTGAGGAATGAAAGGGGCTCATTAGAACAGGGCTCCAGAGGAACAAACTGGAAAACCACTGCCTTGAAAATATGATGAATCTGCTGACAACATTCTTGTGGCGATCACTCTGACACAAATCCTACTTTCAAGAATATTTTTCTTACATAGATCCTAATCACATTCCATTCATTCAGAAAAGCTCTGTGTCTTAGTTAGAGTTCCTATTGCTGTGATGAAACATCATGACCAAAAGTAACTTGGGGATAAAAAGGTTTATTTATACACTTCCGTATCACAGTTCATCACTGAAGGAAGTGAGGGCAGGAACTCAAATTGGGTAGGAACCTGGAGACAGAAGCTGATGAGGAGGCCATGAAGGGGTGCTGCTTACTGGCTTGTCCTGATTCCTTGCTTATCATGATTTCTGAACCCAGGATCTCCAGCCCTGGGTGGCACTGCCCACAGTGAGCTGAGCCCTCCCACATCTCAGTCACTGCCCTCCAGGGTTACCTACAGCCTGATCTTACAAAGGCATTTTCTGAATTTCGATTCCCTCCTTTCAGATGACTCTATTTTGTGTTAAGTTAGCATAAAGCTAGCCAACACTCTGTAAAACCCAAAATATGATTTCTGACAAATTCATCCCTTATAATAGGGGATTATTTTTTTAATCTAAAAGGCTTGGAACCAAAAGAAATTTACTTTTTTTTTTTTTTTTTTTTTTTGGAGGATTTGCCTACACAGAGATTTTTTGGATATGAGACCTCAGGCTAAACACAAAGTTTACTTATGCTTCACACACACTTTATCCACTTCCTGTGAGGTAATTTCCATGGCATTTTTAATAGCTCAGCACATGAAGCCAAGTTTCATAGCATTAAGCAGTTCATTTACGGTATCATATCAGACATCAAAAGGCTTCAGATGTTGAACTTAGTTTTAAGTTTTTAATATAGGATAATCAACTGTACTACCTGTGACACTGAACATAAGGCTTTTATAGAATTTACCTACAGGCAAAACTGTTTAAAGTTGTATTGAAATGCCTTACCTAATGTCTTCATCTGTGACAATGAAAGCTTTGCAGAGGGGTTGAGATGTGTTAAGCCAGACAGCAGGGTTCTTTTCCACAGCCGCAGAGACTTGTCCGGTGATTGGTGCAGAGCTTGTGTGCAGAGCACTGGCCACAGCAGATAGAAGGGTCTCATCATTACTCCCAGGACCGACTCCTGCAGTGAGAAAACAACAATGCTGAAGGGGAAATGCTTCTGAGCCAGTGGGCCGGCCACTGCCTAACATAACCAGTATTCTTATGCTCACTTAGAGTCATACAGGTAAACCTAACACCTAACAAAGCAACAAAGAACAACACATATCCATTTAACAGTCACTATACACCAAAGACCTGACATTAAACAGTGACAAAACAGCTAAGAACTTTAAACAAAACTTCAGTTTTAAAATACATTTCTTAAGGCCGTAAACTTTTAAAAAGTTATGCACATTTTCTCAAGGAGGATAAACTACTTAAATAATCTAAAACTCTGTAAGATCACTATGCTATACTCAAGTACCCGTACTAACATAGCCTGGATCAATTTCTTCCTATAGCTTTTAATATCAATTTCCAGAAGTGTCTCTATGTTTATTAACTTTGTTCTGAGGCTTCATGGAATGTCAATGCAAGCATGGCATACCCAAAACTTAATCAGACATTCAAATAACCAAAAAAAGGTTAAGATTCCCAGAATCAGTGCAAACCCTCATGCATGTAGGGGCCTCTCACCACAGCAAATTTAAGGGAACTTATCAAAGTTCTGGATTTATTTAAAGCAGTAATTTCTAAGAAAATACAAGTATGAGATAATAACACAGCTGTACATTTGGAAGATTTTTGAAAAATCTATACTAAGTCAAGATTGAAGACTGACATTCTAGTCCTTGAAAAATAATGCAACTCTTGAATGAGGCATAACCATATGAAATGACAGATAGACTGGCCACTGAGTCCCCTACCCCAGAATCCACTAGGAAATTTCACAGGCCACAGTGTATTCCTACTACAACTTACAGCAGCGGTTTGTAGAGATACAGGAGATTTTGGAGTTGTTCTTTTAGTGTAAGAAGATAAGAGAAAGAAAATTCTGGGTGAGATGCTGCTACTTAGGAGGCAGGAAAACTTGGGGAACCCTTTGTTCATCTGTAGTTAGTGCTAAAAACAGCACACAGTTTAAAGGAGATGAGGAGGCTAAGATGGAGCCAAATGTTCACATAGAAGAGAAAGAAATGCTAGGTGACATACTATTCAGAAACATCCCTATGACATGTTTGCCATGTATGTTTTCCCTCAGTTTATAACACAAGAGACAGGCCATCCAGCCAAGCACATTGTCCCCCAAAGCAAAGGCCTGCTGGTACAGGTCAATTATGAATGCACAGTACCTAATTCCAGTGCCTGGCACACAGTATGTACTTAATAAGCATCTATTCAACTAAACTTAGATGTTACCTTGAAGGCCTTTGGGTAGCTCCATGGTTTTTATAATTTGTTCTGTTACATCCGATGCACTAAGTCCTTGCAGTCTCTTCTCCCAGAAAAGCTGTAAGGCAAAATACCAGTTAGTTACGTATTTGATGCTTCTGAATGGTGCAATGCAAGTCATTTCAGTAGTTTCCTACGGTTTTCTCATTTTTTTTCCTTACAGCAAGCTAAATTAAACTCCAAACAAGAATTTTTCAACACATCCTAACTCCTTCAGATTAAATTACTCAAAAAGTGTTGTTTTGATTATGTGAACTCAAGTGTTACAATATTACAGGTTGTTTTGTGTTACAAGCTATATAAATTGTTCATAAAGTATCTTCAAAAGAATGTAATGATTTGAAATTTTAAAAATTCATTTGGCATAAAATGCTAATGTTAAAATTTAACAGAGAAAGAACAATAATATCCAATATGTTTATAGAAACATGATTTTCCTAAGACAAATGCATGTTTAGCCTTTTGGTACACTTTAGAGGGGAAATACTATACTCATTGTTGATATAAATTTTTCCAAAACACCTTAATACCAGTCATGAATTGCTTTCTCCCTGTTGCACAAGTCCCTGGGTCACCTACCCACTCAGTGGTCCCAGAACACTGTTCTGGTGTTAGTGAGCACTAAAGACTCTCCCTGCCCTGAGGTAGACAATTGTCGACTCAAACACAACAGCATACTTTACACTATATACTTTTGGGTTTTATTCTTATGTCTCACTGAATGTGTCCAGCATGCGGCATATTTTCTGAGTTCCTATCACATACTATTCTTGTCTTGTGGATGCATATCCTGCTTCTTTTTTAATATATATTACATTTACTACAGACAAGGAAAAAACAAAGAATTCTATAAGACTCTCTTCCTTCCTTTAATCCTAGATAACAGGACCTGTTGCAAAGTTGGTGTTGAATTTGTGTAATGAGCAAAAATGGAAGCAACAGAGCTGAGGCAGTGAAAGACACATGAGCCAATGTGGAAATTCTAGATCCACCACCTGTGAGATGGACAGCCTTGAGCTTGCATCCCTTTTACAGCTGGGGAAGCAACAGCTATCACACAAGATTACTGTGGAGAGTAAGGTAACATATGTCAAGAACCTATCATACATAAGTCATAAAACTTACTATATTTACTTCGAGCAAGATTTAGCTACTTTGGGGGCCTTGGGGAGTTTAATATAGTAAAGTTATCAGATAACCACCCATCAGACAAATGAGAAGATATGGTAGTATAATTCTCCTTCTGGCAGAATAATATGTGTTTATAATAACCTCAAAACTAGCACCGAGTAACTTCCAACAGAATGCCCTAAAGACCTTTTGTATAGTTATATTGTTACGTGGTCTTACATATGCCTGCAAGTAATGGTCTCAGTAGAAAATGTAGCCAATTAAGCAATCAATCAATACTAGGAAGATGGAAGTATAATAATTAGGAGTTCAGTGAAAGTATGGTAACTATCATAAACATCCTGTGAAATCCTTTCTGCGTTCTATTTATGCTCCCCAAACTCTATGTTGTATTTTTACTATCCTCAGTCAGTTTATAATTCACCATCACTGCAGAGAGTAGGGAGGGGGAAGTTTCTTTTGCTCAATCAATGGTTCTCAACCTTGCTAGTGGTGCAACCCTTTAATATAGTGCCTCATGTTGTGGTGACATCCAATCACAAAATTATTTTTGTTGCTACTTAATAACTGTAATTTTGCTACTGTTATTAATCATAATGCAAATATCTGCTATGCAGTACATCTGATATGTGGCCCCTATGAAAGGGTTGTTCAACCCCAAAAGGGCTCATGACCCACAGGTTGAGAACAGTTGTCCTAAATGTTTCTCCAGGTCTTCATGAAGTTCAGGTGTTTACTAGGACTAGATTATGTTCATCTGGCGTTTTCCTCAGTTGATTCATGTTCAACAACAGTAATATTCAAATCACATGTCTTTCCAAATCTGTAAGTTGGCCTGGTTCCCTTTCTGTGCTGTGATAAGATATCCAGACAAAAGCAACTTGAAGAGAGAGAGAAGGTTCATTTAGCCTCCAATTCTGGGTTACCATCCTCATGTCAGGGAAAGTCAAGGCAGGAACTTGAAGCATTAGTCACACCCACAAGGAAGAATAGAGAATGGATGCTTGCCTACCTCTAGGATTTAGCTTTCTTTTTCTCCACTCTTAATATAGTTCAGAGCTCTCAAGCCAAAGGAACGGTACTGCCCACAGTGAACTACATCCCACATCAGTTAACATAATCAAGACAATCATCCACAGATATGCACACAAAAATGATCTAGACAATCAGATGTAGATAACTCTTGGGGAGTCTCTTCCCCAGTGATTCCAGATTGTTTCATGTTAACAAAACTATCAGAGGAGGCCCCATTTCTACCTAGCTACCTAGACTATCAATACATTTTGTAAACACTACCATTATCCTCAATTCTAACATGAAAATCTAATTTTACCTGCCTAATTCAATGATTTTCTCAACTTAATCTTGCTGCCTGCTATGACACCAAACGATCAATAAATATAATACTTAAGAGAAACCTGATTTAATAATTGGGTCAAGTCCCAAAATCAATGCACTACCACCTTGGGTTATTAAGTTCCTTTCTAATCCTTACCAATGAAATCCCTAAGTGCCTCTAAGATCTTCTAGTCACACTCCAGAATACTAAAAAATCAGCTCCCACATGAACATCACTTTCTATTGCTCCTGGTCTCCACAACAGCCTGTCAGATAAACAATCTGACTGTGGGGAAAATATTGGAAGGGATTAAATGTCACTCGTAAGAACTAAGTGTGGGGGACCGAATATGTGGGGTCCCAGGTTCTGGCTGTCAGCAGCGGTGGCAATTGTATTGTTAATTAACACCAGGCTGTACTGTCTACCTGGCCTGAGGGTAATATGCCTCTTATTTTGGAGCGAAGCAGGCTAGCGGAGAGGGAGGACAAAGGAGAAATGGTTGCCTCATGGTACTAGCATGGTGGTTAAGGGACACCAGAAAAGATGGTTAATAAAGGAATGGCTCTAGTTCCACAACATGGAACTGAGAGCTCTCTGAAGATGACAAGATGCCTGTGTTTGGTCTTTATCGCTGTGGGGTTGCTGGGAGCTTCCAGGTTCACACACCCCCACTCAGGTAGAACCTCATGGCTGTCGTGGGTTAAAGCTGAGACAAGCCGGGCCACGACAAATTGGCGCCCAACATGGGGCTGAGTACGGGACAGAAGCCATGGACACCACGAAGAATCCGGCAAGGCAGAGGCTTGGACACTGAGGAGAGATATTTGTCGTGGGCGAACTGGTTGGGGAAAAAGCACGCGAAGAAAAAAGAAGAAAGAAGTGGCCGAATGTGGTGAGTCAACAGCGTTAAGTCAGGAATAAAACTGTATATAATGGTAGAAATAAAAAACAGATATATGTAATATAAAATAGAAAGATGTCAGCCAGCAGCTGACGAAAAAAGGTAAAGCAGGTTATTTAACCCTTAAAATGATGGAAGATGGGCAAATAGAAAAATGTCAGCCAGCAGCTGACAAAAAAAAGGTAAAGCGAGTTATTTAACCCTTAAAGTAATAAAGATGGGCAAATGAGAGAATGTCAGCCAGCAGCTGATGAAAATAGGTAAAGCGGGTTATTTAACCCTTAAAATAAGAGAAAATGCACACAGTAGGTGTGAGACTGAAATGTTCAGTCAGGTGATAAAGTAGTAAAATGTAAGGTGTTAAACGCCGGAATGAAAAATGCAGGTAATTGTAAATATGAAACAGAAATACTAGCCAGAAGTAAAGAGAAGTAAGTTAGCCTTGAAAGTAAAAATGTATATAGATAGAGAAATCAGGCCAGGTAAACAGTACAGCCTGGTGTTAATTAACAATACAATAGTGGGCCGGAGTTTCCTGGCGCCACTGCTGCTGACAGCCAGAACCTGGGACCCCACATATTTGGTCCCCACAACTAAGCACCTGAAATGTCATCGATGGGCAATGTTGGAAGAAGCATTCTGGTCACTATGAGGTCTATGATTCACTGCATCTTCTTCTCTTAGGTCCTGGTTATTATGTATATTAGGGCATTAGTCAGGCACAACTGCCTGCACTTTATCTACCCTGGCCTTCCAAAGGGGCAAACATAACGGTGTGTCACAAAAGCCATTTCTTTTGTGAGATGAGCCACCACATATGTTTATTGAAAGTAAAACTAATCTAAAACACAACTGTATCATCTTTGCTTTTTTTATTTTGATTTTTTTAATATTTTGTTTATTTTATAGCATTTTTCTTCCCTTTTAATATTTATCTTCCTTTTTATTCTTTAATTACTACTCATATTTACAAATCCATCCCCCCATTCTCTCGCCCTCCCTCCTCCCATGTTCCCCACCAACCACCCCCCAATACACCTCCCAACTCCTCCCCAGGGATAGTGAAGTCCTCCAGGGGGGACCTTCAAAGTCTGTCAAAACATTTGGGTGAAGGCCTAGGCCCTCCTTGCTGTATCTGGGCCGCAATAGTATCCCTCCATAGGGAATGGGCTCCAAAAGTCCTTTTGTGCTCTAGGGATAAACAGACTGTCTTGGCCTCCTAGCTGGCTCCCACAATCAGAGGGCTTGGTTTGGTCCAATGCTGTTTTCCCAGCTTTATGACTAGGGTCTCCATGCTATCAGTAGGTCAGGTCCACTGTTTCTACGGGTTCCTCCAGACCCATCTTGGCTCTCTGCTCATCCTTCCTCCCTCTCCACAACTGTATTCCAGTAATATATAGTTCAGTGCTTAGCTGTGGGTGCCTGTTTCTTCTTTGAACAGCTACTGGATGAAGGCTATAGGAATAGGAGAAGGAATTTCTGCTTTGAACAGCTACTGGAAGAGGCTCTAGGAATGGTAACCAAGGTAGACTTCAATCTCATTATAGGGGAAGGGCATCAATGGCATCCTCTCCACCACTGCCTGACTTCTTAGTTGGGGTCATCCCTGTGGATCCCCTAACATTTTCCCTATGGCAGACCTCTCTCCAAACCTGTACTGTCTCCCTCTGTCAAGGCATCTCCTTTC